TCGACAACAACCTCTTGCACTTCGTGTCGCGCGTGGCGTGGCCAACAAATGCATCAAGCTCAGCTATATGGCGGTTCTCTTCCGTATGATATGAATCTGCGAACGCACTATATTAATATATCACCATATGACTTACAAGCGCTGGGCACTGATAGCGGGTAACCATGAACATTCAAAGTACGGGGGAAACGCCGCCGTCAATCAATCCACCTCGTCGCGACTCAATCGAATAATGAATAATTAATTGCTCAATTGTCGCTCTGGCAAGATTTTGTTTGTACCTGGCGCCGAGTGAGGGGAAATAGGTACAGCGATACAGCGGACAGATAGACGGAGAGCTGCCCAGATGACAATCGCAACTTTGCTTTTCTGGGAAAAAACCAATGAAAGTCAGTCGCTCCACTGGTCCTATCGACGTCTTTCGTCCCTACAACCGGCGCAGGGGAGTCACCATCTGGTGCGCTCCTTTTCCCTTCAGGCCGCTGTCTCCCTTCATTCTCCCTAATTAGATGAATTTAGACAGTTCCACTGGGACGCCGCGGCGATAAGCAAGTCATCGTATTCGATCCGGATATTGTGACGGCATTGCAACCCACACTCATCCGCCAGCCTTTAGATTCTACCTACCTACTACTACCTACCACCCCCGGGCGCCGCGTATCTGCACACTCATGGGCATTAATGTGCTAATATCACTCCCCAGCGTCTTGAACATACTGCGACACTCAAGTCCCGACTTAGCACCACAACGATGCGGTGGGCAAATGGTCTACACCCGCAGAATTATCTGCCGCAATAATTCCGTGCGTACGCCGCCTGTTCGACTCAGGTCCCCGAGTCAGAAATATTTTTTCCTCTGCTTCACCGAAACCCTCATCCTCTATTATTTGCAATATTTTATGCGACTCGACCTCAGACCTTACACCTGTATGACCTACGCCTCTTGAATCGAACTCGCTTGAATGTTCAATATTCATTTGACTCGCCTGTTCAACTCAGACCTGAGCCATTCCACTGAGTGACCCAGTTTCTTTATTTTTTATCCGGCGCTAAAGGATGCAGTCATCCGGCGGACGCTTTTCTTTTCTGGATCGAAGTTCCTTTTCTTTCGAGGCAAGACAACATTGAGGTCTGGATCCTTGATGCAATGTATGGTCGTTATGAGTATTTCTTCTGGGCAGCTCTAACCGTGCTAAAAATACATATCGTAATTATTACTTGATTGAAGATTCCGAAACAAAGGATTTATGGCGCCCAAGCGCGAAACCCAGATTGCGAATGTCATATTTGCTCGGTCTTGCGCTGCGCGGCGACCAGGCGCCTGCGCACAAACCACTGGAAGAGCGGGATCGTTATGCATGAGAGCATCACCCAGGCAAGGAGAATGCCGAAGTTCAGTCCCACTGTATTAGAAAAATTGAGTCGGAACTCGTGAATTGAAGCGAGAAACGAGACGAGATACGCACAATCGTTCTTCGTGCCAAATACGATGGAGCGGACCGCGCGGGAGATGTTGTAGAACGGGAAGGCGTATCCGTAGTGGTAGAGGTGCGGGAGGACTTGGAGCGGGAATACCGTAACGGCGGCGTTCGAGATCATCCAGGTGATAAGGAAGAATGGGATAAAGCGGGCGGTGACGAGAGTAATCATCGCCTCGATCGCGAGACCGCTGAAAAATGATTAATTTCCAAGAATTCCAAATGCGCAAGGAGAGAAGCGAAGGAGGCTCACACTGCGAGCATGCCAATCCAGGTGAGCATCTAAAAGATGAAGAGCCCCGCGTTGCCGAAATGGTGGTCGAAGGGGAGCTGGAATGCTCGGCTAAGGAGGGTGTAGCACAGCTGCAACGCAGACGTGAGTGAGTGAAGGGCGGGATCACGGGGACGACACCTACAGAAATAAAGAAATAGGCGACGAATGAGGTTGCGATGCGGACCCGGATGAGCGAGCCAAGTGTCAAACTGTTTTCCAAGCCCGACATTGCACGCGCAGCTGTGGAAAATAGAACCACGAAGAACTGTGGGAGGGGAATTCAGTAGGGTTGTCATTCCAAAGCATCACCACGACACTTACAGACAGGATGAGCAGATACATGAGCCCCACGAAGGTCACTGCGCTAGCCCTGATTCACAGATCAACGATCGGCCGGCAAGAGAAACGATAGAGAGGCTTACACTTCAACATCGAAGGGCCGGATATTATTAATCGTGTAGTAAATCGGCCGCGCCACAAGCTCTGGCGCAGTCGACAGTAGTGCTCCAAAATTTGCGGAGAAGGATAGATTCTGGAGGAACTGGACTTGAAATTGATGGACTGCGGCTTCCAGTTGCAAAGCGACAGTAGGGAAGTGGATATGACTGCGACGGCGCATCAACATCTGAATGCATTGAATCATACTCGAGACGTACTAGATATTCTCATTTCTCGCCTCAGAGCCCATGAACGTGAGCGCCAGAGAGGAATCATACGACCCATCGGCGGAAGAGACCGCCGCGGACAGATTGGCACTTGCTCCGGAGTTGACTGGGAAGAGATGGTTGGTTCCAACCAATGCAGAATATACGTGGCACTCACTGGTGATTGCATACCATGTCTTTTCTTGCACAATTGCGTTTTGGAGTTGAAGAATCCCCTCGGGAAATTTGCTCGCAGAAACAACTTGCCATGAAATGCCACCTGTTCCTCGACTCATGCTGCGGAGAGTGTTCGATACAGACCGGCCAACCGCGCCGCCATCGAAGTCCTAGGATGTATGTAAGTACTAGTACGACACAACGAAAACAATATGAATTCAGACTCACGACAATCCATCCGGGAAGGGAATGGTGGGGCGTACGCCATACGGATCCCCAATATATCGCAAAGACCGCGAAAACGACTACCATAAGCCCCGCAACACATCCAATAAGGGTCTTCAGGTAAATTACACGGGCAGCCGCGGCTTTGGGTGATTTGTCGAGAAATTGCGCGGAGAAAGGGGCCGGCGGTATGTTGGCAGAAGGGAGCCCGTCGTGTACTGTTTCTTCAGACGGTGCCTGAGACGATGGTCGGTCGGTTTTGTTCATTGAAGCTGCGAGTTTGTGTGATGAGCATGGGGCCATTGACCACGAGCCTTTTGTACCTCTTATGTGCGTCGCACGGGGACGCAGCGTCAGCGACATCCCACTTCGTTGGCGCTGCCATGGCGGGGAAACGGAGAATTGTTTGCTTAGAGATGTCGCTACGCAACCGATCGACAAATCATGGCATGCAGTTTGATCGGCTCAGCTTTGATCCGCCTGGTTGAGCCGCTTTTAAAACAGCAATCCATAGACCTCTCGAGTCGGGCTTTACCCGACTTTGCCCGGTATGGTAATATAACTGTTGTGGTATTTTTGTGGCATTATTTTCCCATTTATGTCGACCAATAGCAGAAGAGATTGCACTGAGTCAAGCGGAGTTGCCTTACTGGGATATGAACCGCTTGAGCTTTGAGCAGAATGCACACGTGCGAGCGCTTGAGCTCACCAAGCACCGGAAAAACGGAGTCAAGCTACATTCATATTCCAGGATGCTAAAGTATGGACCGTTCTACTAGCAGCGGTCAGTTAAGTTCCTTTGTGCAGTTACCATAGGCGCCGTAGAACGCAAGGATGCGTCTTTCCGCCCTTCCTTTCTTGTTGTGGGGTGGAATTAAAGAAATCGGAGGCGTGGATAACCGTAACTCGGCAGACCTGACCTTCATTTTTTTTCTTTTGTATGCCCCGCGTTCTTTGTTCAACCTATTTTCATCTTTTGATCACGAGACACGGGATTATGGGAAGTGATGGCCGCGGTGGCCGATTGAGATTCAAGCTCCGATTAAATGCTAGGCAGCCAAGGAGTATGGGCAAGGAAATCACTAACAGGGTTATTTGGCTTTCAGTTTCGATTATCATTATCAGCAGGTCGCCGCTGCCCCTGATCAATATTTATGGCAGCAAATCTTGAATCAATAAGTTGCATCAAGTACGGAAAAAACCCCTCGAGACGGGGAAATTGCCTGGTTGTCCAGCGTGTAGTAACGGTGCTGGCCCTCGTTACCATAAGATGCATGTTACATGTCAAGACGCCTTAGTGTTAATATATTGCGAAACCCTACGGCCTAAGAAGTAAGATCTTACGCGGGGCCAGAGAGGCGGGCAATGAGGCAAATTCTATCACTTGTATAAATCGACCATCGTTCGATACGGACACCAAAATTTTTTTGAACGAGTGATATGTTGTGCGGCCGCGCTACCACATACCAGAGCTCCAGGTTGTAAGGCCCAAATGTGACTCACATTTGGCATGACTCAGAAGCCCGGCCCGACCCGCACAACGACGAGGTATGATCAATGCAGCTTACCGATGGGTTACTAATGTTGAGCGAAATGGTGTGCCGCGTTGTGAAATGCCTTCTGGACCATGCGTGCAGGAAGCTACGAAGAAGCTTATTTGATGAAGGATTTCGAATGGGCGCGCAACAAGCATTTGCATGTACTTATCGTGGGGCAAGGGGTGCCAAATTGCGGGGTGGTTCGTATGAGGTATGAGAAGGGCTCTTCCTAGACAAAATTTAAAAAAAAACATGTCCACAGTCGGATTGAAGAAAAACGCCGAGATTTTAGTCATCTCCAGGGAATACTCGACAAAGCTCGAGTCGATATCTCCACCGAAATCCTTTAGGAATGCGCCACTATTCCTATTTGATTCCTATCATTTTTGCTCTTCGCTTCTTCAACCGTCGGCACACTGTAGTCGTGGTAGCATTGTTGGAACAGAGCTTGCTTCCCTACGAGACAGAGTATCTCGCAAATTCCAAGTAGTCCCTAGACTCGTCAACCGGTCGCTGTACACTTCGGGGACAAGGCACAGTTGGCATCAATTGTACCTATTATCCCAAACCAGGAATTCCCACACGGATATTTCCGAAATCAAGTCCGTCGTGAAAACTGAGATACAAGGAGAAGAACGAGGTAAAAAATTACGGCAAAAGCTCAGGGCCGAACCGGGAATTGAACCCGGGACCACTCCCAGTCGCACCTACGGAGGCGTAGGCGGGTTTCAACCCGAAGGGAGTATCATACTTCTAGACCATCCAGCCGATAGACCATCGTGCGGTTATGGTGTAACACAGAGCGTGCATCCACAGTTCGGAGATTTCGCGCATTCTGCACCTCCCCGCGGCACACTTCAAAGAGCTCTGATTCTGCACCATGTCATCAGGTATGATCTCCAGCAAACCGTCTTCGTCGACCCAGACCATATGTCCCGTATCTGCGATTTTGATTTCTTCATGATAATCGCCCCTGTAGGCTTCACTACATTGGCTGTCCCATAAGTATCTCGCACCGGATTTATCCTTCGTTCTGGATGAGGAAACCGTCTTCACCTCGCCGCCGCGGACGACGAAATCCTCAGATGTACTGTGCTCGTGGAGGTGCGCCTCGACTCGTTTAGGTTTGTCGTTGCTAGAATCAAATAACATAGATACTGACCTCCGAGAGCGTTCTGGAGCCCCCTTTAATTTAAACCTAATTTTTCCGAAACTTGCGCGTCAATTTGGCGGGAAGACAGCTTAAATTCTCGGATTCAAGGTTAATTTGAGATGCCTAGGCTCGCTTGAGGCCAGCAACCCTACTGTTGTGCCGGGTCAGGCCAGGACCCCGGCTGTAGAGCCGCTCGACCCAAGCCCAACCAGATGTTGGTTATCTGCTTGTTTAGCGGTCTCGTAATTACGAGGAGACCGCAGAAATCTCTTCATAAAGGGTTTGAACCGTGTTTTCGGCAACGCGAAGGAAATTTCTGTATACAATACTTTGTTGAACCTAGTGAAGTAACAAGCCTGGCCCATGCAGTCGGGACTGGAGTTCGTTCAGGCCGAGACGCTGCTTGGACCGGACCCATCTTGAGGGTTCAGATCAAATTCAACCCACACAACGCCCATATGGATCGAGAGATATTTGGTGCGAAAGGCTCGGTTAAATGATAAGGATTCACATTGCATTCAATATACTGAAAAACTGGGCCCGCCGAGTCCGGTATCAACTTTGCCGGTAATATCTGTTCTGGTCCAGATCCGAAGGCGACCATCCAAATCCATAGTCAGACGGAGTTGTGTCGTCGAGAGTCGGTGGCCTCGGTCTATAATCCGCAAAATGCCCGGAGTCGGTGGCGGCGGGAGGAGGGGGGAAGCAGAGCCCGAGACGACAGCGTGAAGTGGGTATTGCGTGGGTGCTGCTTGGGTGGACAGATATTGAAATGTACGCATGGACTGCAGATTGTATAGGTTGTCAGGAGTTTGTCTGGAGATTTGCGTCAGGCTGAGAATGGAAGGGAGTCTCGGGGTGCGCACGTAGGGTATGGAATGGGTGATTGATTGGGTGGATTCACAGTGCGGCTTCGGGGTCGAGGGCACACCGGCAGAAAAGCAGAGTCCAACGAGGACAGCGGGGGGTAACCAAGAAGTGACGGTGTGCGAATGCGCTGTGGGTTGGGAGGAGCACCGGAACCTCTGGGCACCCCAGACAAGGTATCGGAAATCCCGGGGGGCGTCCTAAAGGCGGACCGGAGTGGACGCGCTGGTTCTGCCGGGAGGGCTGCGGCGGGACGGCTCTCCGGACTAGGCGAGCATTCCGGGTCATCCGTTGCGACATATTCGCAGGGGAGCGACTTCCGTTTACAATGTTCGCAAGGGTTCTTCGGAGGCTGCTCAGATGTTATACACTGGAGAAGTAGATATTTTAGCTCTGTACATGAACTGACTAAGAAAAAAAGGGGCAATCACCCTGATCTTCCTTCTGCGGCAGTTTTTACATGCCATGATTGTGCGACGGCGCTTTGCCCTCGACCTGGGACGTGCGTCGCTGCTGCCAGATTCCGTGTTAGCTTGTGATGCTGGAATCCGATACATGCTTGAGTAGTATCAAGGGAAAGCTATTTTATACCATAGCGTCGATCCCGTTCCCTTCGGCGACGCGTCTACGATTTGATCCAAGACGAATATTTGTAATGCAAGTTGGAGTTGAATGAGATTTCGGCACCAACTCTTCGGCACGCTGAAACACCAGTGAGTCCTCTTTCGAGGGGTATTTTGGCTGGGCAGTGTTACGCCAATCACAACAATGGCTGCAGCATCTCACCATATCGACCAAAGATGGTCTACGGCCGAATGTCTTTTGCTTCGCCATTCAAAGACAACGGGTCCTAGTGATTTTCGGTACCGCGCATTAAATTTAGTCCATATCCTCCAGCACATCCTGGAAAGCGTCAGCCTTCCACGTGTAGGGCACACGTCGATCTTGTGGAATTCAAGCCTGTGCGGCAACTATATTGACAAGTACATTTTGTGTTGGAGATTTGGAATCCAACACAACTCCGAGGGGACCGAGGTCGTCCCGAGATAAAACCAACATTTTGGGGATATCCTTGTTCTGTCTTTGTACTGTACGCGCACTTTCACATTTGCGTGAGAAAGCTGAGCACCTAAATGATTTGGGATATCAATGGCTGTGATGACAAGGCCGTGTCCGCCGTGTTCGGAGGTGAATGCCTTCCGGCCTCGTTTGTTGAACACCCTGCTTGCAGCACTGGAGATGTGCGCAAGTGCCTGACAAGGATTGCCATGCGAGTCATGATGGACTTGACCAATTCGGGGCGTCTCACGGAGTTGGTTCAGTTCTCGGATATCCTTGAAAACCCGACATTATGGCGGATGTGACAAGGAACAGAATGAAAAATTCAGAGACACAAAGGAGACTGCGTTCCACTCTTGACACCGCAGTTCATTTGTCTCCGCTCCGCAGAGTGGCGCAGTGGCGAAGGCGGCGCAGTCATTTGCCGCAGCCTCAGTGGGATCAAGTCGCGGTATTGGCGCAGTTCGATAATGTTGGCCAAATGGGCGTCATATTTTTTGAGGCCAAATTCGTTATGATCCGACCCCGGCCCTGGATTTGAAGCCCGAAGCCCACCCGCACAACACTAATTGTGAAATGTGATGTGGTGAACATAGTGGAAGCGCGTAAAGGTTGCTCTTGATTCTGATAATACGTACCTACCACAGCCTCCTCCCGATACGACCGCACGAGAGTTACGAGCCTCGAACAAAATTGTGGCATCCCGGATTGTAAATGGTCTTTCCTCAATAAAGCAAGCCACGGGGCTCCAGACGCCTGTTCCGGATGGTGGAGACATGGCTCTCTTCCGACCTTCAATGTAATGCGGGTCGCATGTGCGAATATAATGTACATTTTGGATACAGTTCTAGCAGTAAAGGGGGATCCAGGTGTCACAAACAACGCAGCAGCTGCAAGGGTGCCTCGCGGATCAGTAACTTGACACTGTCATTGCCGTGTTGATTTCCGTCTTGACGAATGGATTTAGGCGCGGAACAGAACTGCATTGAATGAATGAGAACGATTTTTCTCTGTGACAAGGTGCTGAGCCCTGAACGGTGTCAGGATCATGCTATCACTCGTGTGTTGCAAAGAACCATAGCCTTTTCCCCCGTGTTGTGGTGTTTTGGCAGCGACAATCGAAGTTTCGATGCCGACAAGCACACCGCGGATCATTAAATTTCAGGGCATCATAGGGTGCCGGAAACACCAACTTTGAATGATTCCTTGATGAAAGTCATAAATGTTATTTTTTTATTTTAATCCTCTAGTTTTGAGCATTTTGAAAGCAGGAATCGACGGGGTGATACCATCGAGATATGGTAATTAAAGCCTTCGGCGGGAAGGTGCATGCCCATTTCTGGCCTACAGGGCATATGCAATTTCACTTTCAGGTCTTGCAACTTCCTTCTGTGCCCCTGTATGTGGGTGCTGGACAGAGAGGACGCATGATGTGTCGGGGTATCATCAGAGTCAAGCCGAGCCTCCCTGGACATCGGGACCGCGGGAGGAGAGCGCAAAATTGAACAAAAAGGAGGGCCGAACCGGGAATTGAACCCGGGACCACTCCCAATCACGCCTGCTTGGCGGGTGTCAACCCGAAGGGAGTATCATACTTCTAGACCATTCGGCCGATGAGCGGGGATGCTGAGAGCGCAAGTGTAGAGCGCCTTCCTGTTTCCTTATTTCTGTTTCCTTGATCAGAACTTAAATTTTATTCTAGTGGAGTTCAACACAGATGGTACATGTCGACGGTCGTGGCACGATCGCTGCATATCATATGATAGCTGTTTATCGGTCATTGACCGGTCACACGGGTACCTTTTCTTTCCTCCTCCCATTTCTGTGCCGTGAAATTAGAGAGGTTGCGCAAAGCCGCATGCGGCTTTTTTGGTGCGCAAACTCACCGCATGCGGCTTTTTTTCTTCTTTATTCTGGTGGTCAAAAGAGGCTATTTGAGAGTCCCAGTGATGCTCTGGAGCAGAAAGAGGATATTGCCGCGTGTGGCTTTGAAAGCCGCATGCGGCTCTTGCGCAACCTCTCTATTCTTCTGTGGCCCTGCTGATGAACGAGGCGACAGCCTTCACTTACCCATTTTTTATTCCCTGGGTTTTCCACACGGAACAAGAAAACCCCAAGAAAACCCTGCACATCGCTCAAGTCGACGTTACCGCAAGTTCCCTTCTGACTGCATACGCAATCGGACTTGGCGGCCGAGTTTCGGAGTCTCGCTCCCGAAACACAGCCACGTCACTGTTTCTCCTTTGCCGCCTCAACCACCTTTTCTGTTTGGGCCACCCGACCACCGGGACTCACGCCGCTGATCAAGCATTGCTGCCATCCGACTAAACGAGCAGGCAATCTTCGCCAAAGCCGACGCCAATCAAACTTCCATTTTGGCCGTCTTTCTCATGATATCGCGCTCGGAGTACAACAATCAGGGGTCGTCTCCTAAAGACCTCGCCTCTCACGACATTCTGCGGCGATCTGGTGCCGCCCGCTTGACTGTCAAAACGGCCCTTTCTGGAACGATATTCCCCTCGCCCCTGGGTTCCGCTTCAGGATTCCGAGCCATTCCTTCAACTCAGGTTCCGTGCAAAATGTTTCTGTCGTCGTAGATGCTTTTCTCTTCGGTCGTTTCGTATATTTCCCGGCACACAGTGAGATGTACAGAACCGCGGAGGTAAGCAACTCCCAAATGCGATCTCTT